CCCCCCCCCCCCCCCCCCCCCATTTCTGCTCCCCAAGTTACACTTTCGTAACTTTTAACTTGGCATCGAAAGCAATGATCAATCAAAAAGGAATTAGAAAAAGAACCTGCCTTTAAAATTAAGAAATAACACACGTAATGTAGCCTACTATAATCAATATAAGAGTACACAAACGAAATTACGAAAATTTGAATATGTGTAGCAAACACAAATTAAATTATGTCGTGTACTACATGGAAATCGCGATAAACAATTCCCAGACCCAAATATACTACCCTTGCTTCCTAATTGGAATTCTTCACCGGATATTATTATGGGGATCAGGCGGCCGTGAATAATATATATGGGAAATATTACAACCCAAATTTGGGGCAGATGGAAAAATCTTAGTTGGAGAACCTAAAGGGAACACAGTGATTCAAAGATCTAGGCGTAAACGGGAGCAGAATTTTCAAAACATTAGAATAAAGACCTGTTTCAGGGCACGAACAATGGCGGGCTCTCGGGAACACAGTAACACACTTTGGCGTTCCATAAGAGGCGGGAATCTCTTGGCCGGCTGAGAGACCACTTGCTTTTGAACAAGAACTCACTTCCAGGAAATTAATTAGCCCGAGGCTCACATGTCCGCATTACTACGAGTGGGAGAACAAATGTAATGCAAATTTTGCTGCCGAGTGTATACAATTTAGTTAGACCTACTCTGTGTATGCCGACCTCACTTTATTGCAAGAGATTCTGTACCTCAGTTCGCGTGATTTTAACTACAATTCGCTTTCACATACATTTCTATGGACATGAGACTTCCCGATCCCTACAGGTTGCTACCAGTGGTTTGTCGTGTTGTGTAAAACAAGTTCCTGTGGTCATATTTCCGAGAAATCTCATATTAACTGCCGTTCTCGTTAATTTACCTGCAGGATTTTAGTTCAGACTTGGAAGTTACGCATGCAGATTCTTACGTAAGCGACCGTCCTTTTCCTGACCGATTTCAGCCAAAATTGGAATATACCTAAAACTAATACATCTCCTGAAAGTAAAATTTCGTGAAAATCCATCACGAGATTTCCGAACTGCTACATGAGGGCAGAACCTCACACAGACACGACGCATTTTTGCAGCTTTGAGTTAAGAACGCGTCAAAAGATTGGAAAATGTATTTGCGGAGTTGTGGAAGAGTAACTCTCTTAAAAAGTATAGTCTTTGCCCCGAAATGTTCTCTTGCATATTATTTATTGCACGATAAGTCAGCCCTTTGGCGTGCCCCTTACATGACATTTTCACTTCCTCACCGCTGGAGAATTACAAACGTGTCACCCCAGCCAGAAGACAAATATCAACAGAAAGTACAAGAACGTAAACACGACGTTCCAGTGATTCCTCAAACGAGACATCGATATTTATGTCACACAGTGACAAACTCCTGGCATGCGAATACGACTCTTGCCTCTGCAGGACTCGAAGTTTCATTTTGCTGGAACCTAATCGATTGGAATGGCGTCGAGACGCTGAGATTAGAAAGACACGTGTTCGTCAAGGGTTGTCGAGAATGAACGTCACGGTGTAGCGGATTTGCAATCTTGCTTCATGTTCAGGGGATAAAAGATTCGCATCTTTGGAGACAGGTCGGGTACCCTGAGGTCTGAGGTGGCTTTAACCCAACAATATCCTAGTGCTCAGTTCTCGGTAAATACCAGCACTTTTTTGTGATCGTATATCTCACATTTCCGTAAAAATCTATGGATGAATCTGAGATATTTTATCGCTCGCAAACAAAAGTTTTCTGTTGACGGAACAGGTAGAAATGACGCATAACATTTTGAAGTCCGACTGCTCTTAAGCGCAACAGGCAACACCTTTTTCTTAGCATTTACCTCAAACAAATGCGGTTTAAGTACGTGGCTGCTAAACCCTGTCCTTAAATCACTTTTGTAGTGTCTGTCCGCTTTTTCGTCCAAATGTTTGCTACGTTCAGTCACCACCAAACATCTTACAACAGAAAATGTAATGCGAATAGTCTCTGCTCCGAAACTAATCCACGCCGGTGTTACCTAAATCGTCCCCTGAAAGTAACAAGACGCCGTTATTGTAAATACCGACCCAACGTCTCCCTACAATCTCTGCGATATTTTCATGGCTCAAACTGTTGAGCACGTGCTTACTTACATCTTTTTGAACTCAATTCTCCGTTTTTCCTTGTCATCGCAGTTTGCACAACTAACGCGCAATACAAAGCCGTCAATGTGCGATACTCCTTTTATTCACTTAGTCTTGCCTGGGCAACCATTTTCAGTTTTTGAACATTTTATCTTTACTTGCGCCCCATTCCGTTTTTTATAATTACTCCTTGCTCCAGTATCTCCGACGAAGGTCGCTCCATCTTTCTGTAGGACTTAACTTCAACTGGATCCTCTTTAAGCACTATGTATACGGCTTCATCTTTTTCATCTCTTAATTTTCCACTCCAAAGAATATTAATTTTTCTCTGCGAATTTACATTTATCTTCTAATCGAAGGCTGCTGTCACATAAGAAATTTTCAGGAGAATAATTCCTGAAACACTTTGCCCAGAATCTGAATTTTCTACAGTCGCAGACTTGCTACAGAATATTTAATTCTGCGATGCGG